CTGTGTGTGTGAGTTTACACATCTTATTTTCTTACACATATAAAATATTTTTTGATATATATATATATATATATATATATATATATATATATATAACAGATGACATATCATACCATATTTAACTTGGAACAGCATTCTTGTGCATTCAGATAATCACACTCGAGATCAGACAGCGTTATAATCTTTACACTTTGGTCAAGGAGAGTAATGATATGACAATTAATTAATAATGTCTAATAACAAATTCAATTATTTGGGTTACACAAGATTAGTACAAAGTTGTTATACATGAAATTAGTAAAGTTAAATGTAAAAACATATAAATATTTTAAATAACTAAATATGCAATAATGATATTGTCATATTATTTAACAGAATATATATGTACATATCATTTCATTGTTGATTATGCCATTGCATTCTGATACTTTATATAAAACAGCCTTTTTTTTAATGTATACTAATCTAGTAGTATAGTGTAGTATAGGTAACCAAGCAAAAATACAATGTAACACAGTGAATCATTACATTCTTATTGTTTGTCAACATTAAACAAGGATGGAATGATTCATTGTGTTATACTGGCTGTGTTCCAAATTTACTTCCAGCATTGAAAATGCTACAGTTTACGTTACATGCACTATAGATTTTCAGTACTGGCAGTTAATTTTGGAACACAGGCACTGTGTCATCTGTCTCTCACTGGAAAGCACCAAAAAATTCTGATTCTTTCTTGCTTGTGTAGGCGGGAGGAAGGTTTGAAATTAGCGCCATTGCATCGCTGCCAATTCCAAAATAACCTCTTATTGCAAAGAAAGTCTCATGCGTACAAAGGCCATCGTTTCGCGAGCCCAGCATTGAAATTATCAAAAGAGATGGAATGAACCTGGGTGACAAAAAGGATACATAATACACCAGAAGGAACAGCACACAGCCCGTGACAAATAGCGCGATTACGAACAGAAACGGATCCGCGATTAGGCTCATGATGCTGCTACTTCTGCGTGAGAACGCTGCTGAATGGTGATCACATGAGATTCGCGGCTTGATAAGTGCCTCCTCCGGATACTTGTCAGTACTCGTCAGTATTCGTACTCGAATACTCGCTCGCCGGTTAAACTTTTGCCCACTTTTGCCGTAAACTTCCGGGGTATCGCTTACGATTGTTGAAATGCACACTTCACAGGGTTGCCAATCGCCAACGCTCAATCGGCTCAATCTCCTGCAATCTCCTGCGATGTCACGGATGACGGACCGTCCCTCGCCCCTCACATATACGCAAATTATTTTTACTGAACAAATTACACAAAGTTGATCAAATCTAGAATTCGTAATAATAAAAATACTAATCAAATCATTAGATTGCGAATTCCAATCGTTTTCTAAGGACAAATCGATCATTTATTATGAAAGATTCATTCAAGAATTCGCAGAAAGTGTGCGAAGATTCAATACTTAATCGGCTTAATGTATGTACGATATTCTTAACGGAAAAATTAATTCGATTTTTGACAATTTCAAACTGTTTTATGATGTCAATCATACCAACGTGTGCTGGTTTTAAGTTAGACTGGCCGTTGGATTGCTGCGCATGCGTGGAAAATCTGGGAACGTTAACTCTAATTCTGTTGGCCGCTCTGCAACATATCCGTTGTTCGAAAAATCAAACGAATTCTGTGTATTATTTACGTGTGTACAGTAACGGAGGTTTGTGTACTCCAGTGTACTCCGTAATTCTCCAGCGACTTTAAACACGGTGATGCTTGACAGTTATGGAGCTATGGGAAAAAGTTATCTTAGAATGGGTGAGTAGTAATTTTACGTATAAGTGCCAAAAATTACGCGCAAAGCGTCTCTGTGGTCTTTCGTGTATTCACAATTACACAAACGTCGAACTCTCAGTTTCAACAAATAAATTTTTCATATCTTTTTATTTGTGCTCTTTGCAATTTTTTAACGTAAATTTTTAATTTTAATTAAATATATAAATTATTTTATGATCCTAGAGTTTTAAGAACTAGAGTTTTAAGAACTTTTTAATTATGTTTAATAGAGAGCTCACACAAGAAGAAATATGTTTCATAGACAAATGTTTAAATTTATAGATCAATTGCCTGGAAGTACAGGACAAACCGGTGAATAATATAATAGAACTGCAAGATGGAATATTTTATATCAATTTCTTAAAATTAATGTGAGTATATTGCAATGCAAAACCTATTATCTAAGCCTATTCTTATTCAATTCATTATATTACAGAAAATGGAAGAAGCTTCAGGATTTTAATCAAGAGGATATTATGAAATTTATGGAAGGCAAGTAAATTCTTGTTTTTCATTTTGCTTAGTTTCCTAACTGTATCATCTGTAAGTTCTTGAATTTGAAAAGTAAAATTGAAGTTAATAGGAATACAATACTAAGTGGAATATAAATGCTACTTAATTTTTAAAATTTTAAGTGATATATGTAACTAGGAAAATAAAATTATGTTATATTGTCTGTTTACAGAGGAATATCCTACTTTTAAAGTTAACAAAGATGATAACGAAGAACATATATACATTGCGTCTTTGTTATTGTTACATTTGTGTCGAGTACTTTTTGCAATACATCAGTCTCTGCAATACAACATGTGTGACAACTTGAGAAACGAAACACAAATTAGAGTTAAAGCCTTTCTCGAAAGTGTTCTACCTATTGGCAAAGATATTACCAAGGAAACTATGAAAGAAGTTATTATGGAGGTAGAGGATACATCAACATCTATGGATAATTGCAGAACACCACGAACACCGCGAACATCGCCCAATAACGTTTTGAATTCGCCTCTAACATGTTCTGGACGTAGCAAAAAAATTTTGATTGAACGGGTTCGAGAATTGAGAGATTTGAAGTGTAGCTTGGCGATAGAACGATTTACTAATGCGGATTTACGGGACGACATATTAATGCAGCACAATAAAATAAAAAAGTTGCAGAAAAAGCTTGACGAAAAATCCGCGAAAATGAAGGAATTGCGAGATGGATGGTTCAAGCCAAGCACTCCTCAACCATCTCGTATACAAGAAGATAATTCACAAGAGGATTATTACAAAAGATATATTAATGATATGGAAAATCAATTGAGTAAACAGCAGGATGAAATTAATAAACTGGAGACAGAGAAAGATGCTATGTCAAAGGAATTATGTTGCACGCGTAGAACATCTAAACATTACAAGGAAAATTTTGCAAATTGCGAACGGTCCTTGGAATCTTTAGCAAACAAAATTGAATTGAAGGACAGAGAACTGATAGAACTTAGAATGCACAATGAAGAATTACGCGCGCATATGAAAGAATTGAATAGAAATACTAATCCAGAACAAAGTTTTGAAGTTGAAGATCTATCATGTCCTGCCACTGGATCATTGAACACTAGCGAAGTTTTAAGTACTGTAATCGATATCCAACTCCAGGAAGCCAAAGAAGAATCTGCTATATTGCATGCTCAAATTGATTCTTTAAAAGGAAGATATGATCTTCTTACGAAGGATTATAGAGCTGCAATAGAATCTAATAGAGATTTGCAAGAAAAGGTAAAGACGCTAGGTAGAGTACAAGCAGAATTAAATAATGTACAGAAGGAATTAGATGTATCAAATACAGCTGTCGCAAGTTTACAAGTAGAAAAAGTCTCTCTTGTTACTCAAACTGAAGATTTGAAAAATTTACTTTCATCTAGAGAGAAAAAATTATCTGAAACAGAACAATCGAATGTCGCACTGAGTACAGAATTGGAAAACTTAAAACTAGACATGAAGAATTTGAATGAATTATTTGAAAATGAAAAGACAAATTCCTCGCATTTAAGCACTACTTTAGAACAAACAAAATCACAGATAACAGAAAATCTTGCATGCATTCATAAGCTTACCGATGAAAGAGATTTGTATAAATCTTCCATCGAAAATTGTAGCAAAAAATTGAGAGATATTTTACATTGTGATAATCAGCAATTTGTAGAAGTTAAAACTGATAATTTAAATAATTCGACGCTTAATAATCTTACAAAATATATTGAAACAATGTTACATAACTGTAATATAATGCGCGTTTCATATGAAAGTGATATCGAGAAATTAAAAATAACAATAGATGAAACAAATACAAATCTATGTAAGCAACAATTAACCATTACAGCTTTAGAAGAACAAAATAAGCAGAATCTTGTGGAACTAGCTAACATCGAGGAAGAGAAGAAGCAAAAGGATTTATTAGTAAATGAACAAAAGCAAATTATTCTTACATACTCACAAGAAATTGAAGTTCTAAAAGAAATTAGAGAGGAGAAACTCGTTTTGGAACAAAATTTACATGAATTAACAAATAATTTAACAAATCGAGAGTCACTGCTGAGACATGCTATGACACAGTTAGAAGAGCTACAGAATATAAATAAAGATCTGAAATTATTAAAAGAAAAAACTGAGCAAGACTCTGAAGAATTCAAAAAATTTGTTAAACTAACATTTGAAAAATTGCAACATGAATATTACACGTTGCATCACGATTATTATAAAGTACAACAAGAAAAGGAAAAATTAGAGTATAATTTCAATTGTAATAAGGAAAAATTATCAAAAATTCAAGTAATAAATACTACATTACAACAAAACTTATTAGAAAATAAAGAAAGGATAGATACTTTAGAAAAGAAGGAAACAAGTCTCTTCACTGAATTAAATGAATACAAACGCAATGTACAAGAATTAAGAGATATGAATCGAACGTTGGAAGAGCTATACGCAGTGACGAAAACTGAAACAAATAATAAACTTGAAAGTCTCAAATCGGATTACGCTAAACTATTACTCGAATTGAAAGATGCCACTGATAAGCTAAATTTATTACATCAAGAAAAGAGTGATACAATGACGCAAATAGGATTAAAAGAAGCACAAATTAACAAGTTACTTTTAGATGTTTCAGCTTTAAAATCAGAAAAGAACGATTTAATGTATTCTCATAAAGAAACACTTGAAATGAAAGATAAAGAACTAGAAATGAAAGAAAAAGCCTTATTGACGTTACAAACCAAAATGGAAAAAATGATCAGCGAAGCAAATGTGACGGAAAAAAAGATGAAAGAGATAATTATTAATCTTCAAGAAGTAAGATCCAGTCAGGATGCTGTCTTGGCAACTCAAGAAGCAGCTCTGAAAGAAAAGTGTCAATACATAGAAGAACTTCAAGAAAGGTTTGACAATTCGAAGGATATCTTGAATAAAGAACTTGAAGAAACAAAATTATCATTACGTGAGTGCCAAATTAAATTCTTTGACTTAGAAAATCAACTTAATAATCAAAATAGGACAATAACAGAATTGCAAGACATGCTCAAAACAATAAATGTAGAACTTGAAACGAGTAAAGAGTATTGTAAGCATATAGATGCAAGTCAAGAGGAAATTATAAAATTATGCCAAGAATTGGAACATCCAACAAAAAATTTAAATTCTACGATTACGAAAACGTGCTCGGACTTTGATATACATGATGTATTGCAGTATGAGTGTATTAATATAGAGAATAAGTATAAGTGCATTAATATAGACAATAATGCAAATATCTTAAATATTATTAAGACGACTCTTGATGAATTACACAAATCTCAGAAAATTATCTTGCATTTATCATATGCAAATATAGAATTGAATGAAACTTTGTCGAAACAAAAAGTACTTGTAGAGAACAGTGTAAAAGACAAAGAAGAAGTTTGCAGTCTCAAGAATAAGATACGAGAATTGGAAATAATAGCACTGAAACGAAATAATTATATCAAGAGCCTCATAAAAAATAAGGAATCTTTGCAGGAATCTTTGCAGAAAGTTTTCGCCACGCGCAATGATTTAGATACTATTTTAACATCAACTAAACAAAAATGGAATGAAATACTGACAAAGTTTCAAAATATTTTTTATACTGAGCATTCCATTTGTGACGAGCTTAAACAGCTGCAAATTAAGAAGACAAATCTTGAAGATACATTGTTGAAGTGTCAAATTGATTATTTAGAGAACATCACATCTATATCTGACATTTTATGGGAAAAGTTCCTGTGGACAGAACAAAAATTACATGATACCTATTTATGTTCAATACATGAGAAAGAATGTTTGGATATACTAACTAATGTAGAAGAAGATCAATTTTCTAATGAGAAAATGGTAATTA